TGTATGCTATACGAAGTTATTACGGACCACGACTGACTCCCTCCTGTGCCCCCCCACTCCCCTCACGCACACAGAAATGGAAGGTCGACGGCAAAGACGCAGGAGAGACACAGTCCCACGGCGGGCTCGTATGGGCAACAATAGCCGGGGCGGGCCACATGTGTCCTTTGGACCAGCCGGATCGTTCGCTGGCGATGTTCAACCGGTGGCTGGATGGCGAGGAGCTGTGAGCGGGAGGTCGGCCGGAGGACGGGCGGAAGGAGAGGGCGGGAGCGGAACGGAGGACAGTGCGGGTCGGATGCGGGAAAGGTTCCGCTCGTTGAGCGCCGCTCGGCTCTGGACGGCGTCGGTGTGGCCTGTCATCTTTCCTCTCGCCACTCGTCCGCATCGTCAATCAACCGGCACGCAGCGCGTCGCTGTCGTGCTCTGTGAAGCGATCTACCCAGCCTCGGTGCGGAAGCCGTTGGCCCAGCTGGCGGCCCGAAAGGTCCACGGTCGAAAGTAGATCGCACGCTGCATCTTTGTGTTAAGGGGCGGGTTGGGGGCAGAGGCACGACCTCGTCGCTACCTCCATGCCGCAGTAACATCGCGGTTCCCTCTCTTTGTCCCACCTCCTCTCTACCGCACGTCTCCACTGTGCTTGCTTCACCGCTTCTCCTCTTGCCGCCTCCCCAGCTTAGAGCCTCGTCGACAGCAGGATATGAAGAAACGCGACGACCACGACGACGACGACGTGAGCGGGGTGCAGGACGACGTTGAAGCGACGCGCCGACGCTCGAAGACGTCGACGCCGACGAAGAAACGAAGCGTGGCCGTCAATGTCGATTCGGAACTTGGCCCTCGTCTTCCTCATCTCGACGAGGAGGAGGGGGAGGAGGTAGAGGAAAGTGGAGAGAGTCAAGACTCGTTCGTCTCCACTTCCTCTTCCTCCTCCTCCCCGACGATCTTGGATGGTCCGAAGCGAAACGCCGAGGAGGATGAGAACGACGGCGACGGCGACGGCGGGAAGGTGACGACAAAACGACGAAAAAAGGTTCGATACCCCGTCCCCCTTCCCTTGCCCTCTTGGCGTACCCAGGATGTCGTTCCGAGCCTAGCCCTGATCTTGATCTCGATGCTGATACCCTATCGACATCGACATCCGCATCGGGTAGAGTGCGGCGAGGAACAAGACGGGAGAGGCAAAGAACCGACGTTGGAGCAATGAGGTGCGTCCCGCCCGCGTCTTCCGTTTGCCCCTCCTCCTTCTCATCTGAGCGCGACTTTCACGGCTTGACGTACGTGCTCGCCCCGTCCTCCTCTTTGCGCTCCGTCCTCCTCGCTGCGCTGCGTTCCCCTCGCTGCGCTGCGTTCTCCTCGCTGCGCTGCGTTCTCCTCGCTGCGCTCATCGTATCGCTCACAATCTAAATGCTGAGCGGGAGGGGGGAGCAGGACAAGATGACGCTCTTCTACGCCCTCTTCCCGCGCGCCGAGGTCGTCGATTGGGAGTATACCGCCAAGTCGGTACGTACCGTCGCCTACTGCCTTTTCTCTTGAACAAAGGACGCTGCTTGACCTTCTCGTCTCCTCTCCGGGATCGACCAGGTAAAGAGGGACGAAGAGTCATGTCGTGTACGTCTGCTCCTTCTTCATGGCAATGCCGCGCGACGAGGAGTGCTGACACACGCATCCTGCTCGTCCGCTTTGCGCCCCACCCACGTGCAATGGGCGATGCGGGTTCGATAGAAGGCAGCCGCGAAGCTGAGCAAGTCCCTCGAGGAATTCCTGAGTGAGTACGAGGTCGAGGGCGGGAGTCGTCTCGCTCTCCGCCCGCTGGTGCTCTCCGCCTCTGCTATCGTCGAGGTGCACGCAGGTCGCGTAGAGACGCTGAACGGGCGTGTTACGATCGACGGACTGCACTGGCTGGCTGGCTGGGTTGCTCAGACAAGGACGACTCGTTCTGAGGTCACATCGAGGGCTCCTTAGGGGTCGACGTGCGAGATCAACCGTGGCGCAGGGAGACGGTGTCAACGCAGTTATCTGATCGCGCAACAAGCCCCTTTCGAATCCGAACCGAAACCACCATTCGCGCGGGTTGCATGGTCTGATGGCGGCCTTTCGTCTGTCGGGGGTCTGGACATGGCTGTGAGATGGCAGATGGACAAGGTTGGACGGTGGTGGGTGTCGAGAGTGTTGGCGGCGAGGCGATACTCTGACGGCGCGGACGGGAGAGGTGCGGGGCGACCGCCTTGGCTGTCCCCGGAACTCGGCGAGGGTCCAACACCGGCTGGTCGCGCTCCACACCTTCCATCTCTCGACCACCACCACGACCGCCGCCGCCATCGCACCTTGACCCCAGCCACGCTGCCACCGCTCGACACACGACCTTCCCCGCACCAACCTCCCGGTCCCATATTAGCCGTCACCATGTAAGTCGCGCCTGTCTGGTCGTCTTCGTCTTTCGCCTTCCCTCTCCCTGTGCAATGGGCAATCGTACTGACCCGCACAGCCCCTCTCCTCGGCACACACTGCACCATGCAGGAGCAAACCACGCGGCTCAGTCCCCAACTCGGCGCTAGCCTCAACATCGAGCACTCCCGCCCCACCTTCGCTCTCCGAAACACTCTCACTGCACGGGCTACCGCGCCCGTTCAAGCAGGCCAGCTTCAGCGCGCGCATGGCGCGGATCTCGTCGAACCTCTCGCGCCGAAACAAGTCGCTCAAGCAGATCCTCCAGTCGGAACGCGAAGCCGCCCTCCGCGCCGCCGGCATCGCTGCCGGCACCAAAGCGCGCGGCGCGCCGAAAAAGACGGTCGCCCCCGGCGAGATCGTCGTTCCGGCCGCCGCAGCGGGGGCGGGGGCGGGGGCAGGGCGAATGTCGGAGACGGCAAAGTCGAAGTTGACGGGTGCGGCCAAAAAGGCGTATGCGAGGAGGGAGGAGAGGGAGAGGCTGCAGCGCATCGCTGCTGCCGAGGCGGCTGAGGCCGAAGCGGCCGAGAGGAAGGAGGAAGAGGACGACGCGGCGGCGGCGGCGGCGGCGGATAAGATGCAGGTCGATGCGCTGGAGACCAAGGCCGACGAGGTGGCTAGCGGGGCAGATGCAAAGAAGGACGAGGACGACGTCAAGCCGCCCGCTGCCGAGGCTGAGGCTATCGCGGCGCCCGGGGGGGAGACCAAGGAGGGGGAGGAGGACGAGGAGGCCAAGACGCCCAGGCCTAAACGTGACGTGCCCACCTGTAAGTTGCGCTCGCTGCGACTTGGACTCGTCAAGGCTTCCATCTGACCGTCCGACCTGGCCCCGCTCGCCATCTCCGCGCTCCCTATGCTGACGTCCTCAAGACGCAACGGTGGAAGCACCGCCGAGCCTGCGTCCGCAAAAGAAGTACTGCGACGTCACAGGTCTCATCGTACGTTCCCCCGCCCCGCCCATCCTCGACCTCCCCCCTCCGCTTCCTCCTCGAGCTCATCGACATCGCGTTTCCCTATCACCCCATTCTCTCTCACCCTCCCTCCTTGTCCTGGCACACGCTCGCGCGCAAATAGGCACCGTATACCGATCCGAAATCGCGCCTGCGCTACCACAGCGTCGAGGTCTACGAGATCATCAAGCAGTTCGGGCCGGGCGTCGACAACGCCTACCTCTCGCTGCGCGGCGACGCCACCGAAATCAAGTAGCGCCGCTGCCTCTGCTTCCTCTTCGTCCTTGTCGTCCTCCATCTACCCTCCTCGTGTATTTCTAATCCTCGCACTCGGAGCCTCGTCACGCCAAAACAGGCAACATCGTCCCCCCGTCCGAATCGACGACGGGCGGAAAGAAGGGATGCTGAAGAGGCGATTGCAAGAGAAAGGGAACGAGGGAACGAGGGAACGAGGGAACGAGGGAACGACGACGGGCGACGCAGAGGGGCGGATCGGAGACGGCGGCAACGACAGTTGAAGGGCGGCACGGCGAGGGCGCGCGCCTCGGAGTGCGTGCAGGCGAGAGAGCGGAGGTGGTGTGATGTACAAATGTGGCGGGACCGGTGGCGAGGCGAGCGTAGTAGGGATGCGAGGGATGAGGGCGAGGGAGGGGAAAGACCAGGAACGAGAGGTGAGACGATGCAGAGCCGCGCGACCGAGCGTGGATGGTCGGGTTCTGAACAAGGGTCGGTCCGGTGAGGACGAGCGGGTGCTTGGCAGTGGAGCAACAACGAGGGTGAAGGTGCCAGCAGCGGATGGTGCAACCTGGAAACGGTGGGCGGAGATTGAGCCGCTGCAGAGAGACAGGGGTAGTAGTTGGCTTGACACAAGGCGCAGAGGCGAACCTCTGCTGCCAGACACTGCGCGGAGGAGTCGAGCCTTGTCGTTCCACGGCTATAGCAGGGCGCAGAGGCGCAGTCATGGCCGGCGTCCCGTCGTCACTTGACCGCTCAGGGGTTGGCGAGGTGCAGGCTGCCGCCGTTGCGCGACAGGTCTGGCTGGGCGACGCTTTGGGGCGATCCGGAGCGTGCCTGCGCCGGCGCCGCCTGCTGCTGCGGCTGCTGGGCCGGCTGCTGCTGTGCCGCGTAAGCGTCGTAGCCCATCGCATCGTACTCGGGAGCCTGGCCGTGCGACAGGTACGATCCGCCGCCCGGTCCGAGAGCCGTCGAGCCGGTAGAGAGGCCGTGGCTCAGTCCCGAGGCGCCGCCCGTGTTCGGAGATGCGTAGCCCGCAGTCGAAGCCGGCGCGCCACCGGGAGCCCAGCCTGCCTCTTGGCCCCCGTAGCCGGCGTGGCTCCAGTCGCCACCACCGGGGCCAGCAGCAGGGTGCCCGTACTGGCTCTGGCCGGCCGCCACGTTGTGGTACTCGTGGCCCTCGTAGCCCTGCTGCGCCTGCTGCTGCTGCTGGGCGTAATAGGCGTCGTACTGTCCGTCGTATTGTCCGTCGTACTGTCCGTCGTACTGGCCCTGATGCCCATAGGCGGCGGCGGCGCCCGCTCCGGCTGCGGCTCCGGCTCCGGCCACGCCGCCCCAGTTCTGGCCGTTGTCGACGCCCTGGTAGTGGTAGGCCGAGTGCGGGCCGGCGTCCTCCATCTCGTCCATCTGGATCTCGTTGACGTTGGCGACCGATCCGCCGCCTTTGCCGTCGCTGTGACCGGCGCCGCGGCCATAGACGGCCTCGGCCGATGACTCGTTGACGTGGTCGTTCTCCTGGCCAAAGGCAAGCCACTCGACCTCCTTGGCCTTCTTGGCGCGTCGGCGCAGCGGAAGCAGGATGAGCCAGATCAGAATGACGAGACCGGCAAGACCACCCGCCACACCTCCGACGATGGCACCAATGTTGCTGCTCTGCGCGTAGCAAGCGGGAAAGGGGGGGCGGTCGGACACGTCGCGTCAAAGTCAGCAAGCGATCCTCGCACTGCGTCAAGGCTCGATCAACCCAGGGTCAAAGACTCACGGAGCCACCGCCAGAGCCGGAAGCGTCGGCCGAGGTGCCCGTAGCCGCGGGTGCCAGCGAGGTCTGCGTCGAGACGACGGGTACGCCCCCGGCATCCGTGAACGTGACGACTTGAGTCACTACAGGCGGGGGAGCCGAGCTCGAGGCTGCGCCAGTCGTGGCCGGCGCCGAGGGCAGGGCACTGCTGGCGGGTTGAGAGCTGGGCGCGGCACTCGTGGGTGCCGGTGCGGCAGAGGTCGCGGGCGGTGCGCTCGTCGTCGGGGCGGGAGGCTGCGACGTCGAGGCTGGCGGGGTGGTCGAGGGCTGCGTGGCGGGTGGCTGGTNCTGGCTCCGGGCCGCCGAGTCGTGGGTTGGCGGTCGTCGCGCCGCCGCCGCCAGCCGTGGTCGCCTCC